AGGACCCAATGAGAGAGGGAGAAAAAAAAAAAAAAAGAATTTGAATTGAAAAAGAGTCTTTGCACCGCGCACGGTGGGCTCATGCCTGTAATCCCAGCACTTTGGGAGGCTGAGGCGGGTGGATCCCCTGAGGTCAGGAGTTCGAGACCAGCCTGGCCAACACTGCAAAACCCCGTCTCTACTAAAAGTACAAAAATTAGCCGGGCATGGTGGTGGGTGCCTGTAATCCCAGCTACTCAGGAGGCTGAGGGAGAATAGCTTGAACTCAGGAGGTGGAGGTTGCAGTGAGCCAAGATTATGCTATTGCACTCCAGCCCGGGTGACAAGAACGAGACTCCATCTCAAAAAAATAAATAAATAAATAAAAATAAAAAATAAAAGAAAGAAGAAGAAAATAAAACGAGTCTTTGAACAATGAAATAAATGCTTCCAAATGCAAAATCATGTATTTAATTTATCAAATAAGAATACGGGTAATAAAGAGTTATCAATATTATGCTTTGACATCCCAGAAAGCTAACAAATTGACCCATCCTTAAGATACCCAAATACATTTATAAAAACCTAAGTTATTACTTCCCAATAGTGCAAAACCATTAGACATGTAAGGGGAAATTCTGTATTTCAAAATTTGAACTTTAAAGTTGTTTCAAAATGAAAATAACTTTCTTGAACTAACACTGAAACAATTAAAACCATGGATATTTGGAAAAGAACTTCTGGTGAGCTCATCAGCATTTTAACAGTCTATAAAAGAGGCTTCCCATAACCCCTATCAGTTTGATAGAAACAGTAGGAATTCTCCATCCTCATTACGGGTCCGTGTATTAACTTGATCTTCCTTGTGGCTCAGTTAGTTTTTACTTCCCTTGGGTTCTAGTCCTATTATGGAGCAAAGATACTTTGAGCACAGACATGGATTTTTCTCTTTGGAAAGGGGATCCCTTCCATTTTGTCCTGAGGCCAGATGGGGGGACCAAGAATTTAAGCAGACACATTCATCCTCCTATCTTCAGGTACCTCTGAAGAAACTCCTGTACCTCTTCTATAAAAGCACACACCCTCTTTGGGGAAACACACTCTCTCACACATTTTGATGCATCTCTTGGGAGGAAAATTTGGTAAGGGCTATCAACATTTCAAACGCATGCTTTTCTTTGACCAAGAAACTCCTTTTGCAGGAATTCAACAGCCACATGCACACATCAGCAAAGACAGATGTCCAAACTTATTTCTTGCTACAATTTTTGTAATAGGTGGAGACTAGGGAAAAAATTAACTGTCCATCAAAAAAATGACAGAGTAAATACATTTTAGAAGAATTTTCACTTCTGGTTATGCTAGAGTAGCTTCTAACAGACTGTCCCCACCGTCAAAACAACCAGAAAAGCTGGATGATACACATAAAACATTGTTGAAGGCATTTGAATAGCTGCTAAGGCAAGCAAGGGAAAGGGGACAGCCCAAGTAGGCAGATATCCTGGAAGTTGCTTTCGTTTCTGGGGCACTTGCTGATTCTTAGTGCTGGCAAGATAGTGAAAGTCAATGCGGAAGGCAACTGTTAAGGAACAGAGAAACCTGCAGAACTTTGGGGACTCTCAAGAACTGAGGAGACAAACGTTGGATTTGGGGGCCTGGTGCAGTGGCTCACACCTGTAATCCCAGCACTTTGGAAGGCTGAAATGGACAGATCATCTGAGGTCAGAAGTTCGAGTCCAGCCTGGTCAACATGGTGAAACCCCATCTCTACTAAAAATACAAAAATTAGCCAGACATGGTGGCCACGCATGGTGGCTGAGTAGCCCAGCTACTTAGGAGGCTGAGGCACAAGAATTACTTGAACCTGGGAGGTAGAAGTTGCAGTGAGCTGAGATACTACCACTGCACTCCAGCCTAGGTGATAGAGCAAGACCTTGTCTCAAAAAAAATAAATAAAAATAAAAAATAAAAAATTTGGAGCTGGGGGTTGCCAAGGATTTGAGTGGTTAAGATTCTGGTGAAAGAGGAGATGCAGGAGAATAGCCCAAAACCAACTGGTTTCCCTATGAATGAATTGGCAAATATTTTGCTGCAGAGGGCAAGAGATGAAGAAGCTAAATGGAAAGCCACTGAGAAGCAGAGCAGAGGGTGTTTGGAAGACTGCCTCACAGTCCTTAGAAAATAAAAGAAAATGGAGTCCAGGACCTGCTAAAGATGTCCATTTGCCAACCTAGTAAATGCTCCAGATCTCAGTTCTGAGGTTCATGTATTATCCAGGAGGAGATGGTAAAAGTATAATTTGTATTTGACTGTATTTAGTAAAGAATCTCTAGGGAAAAAAACCAAAACAATAGGAAAAGAATACAGTAACAGCAGAAGAAGAGAATAGCATAATTTTAAAATTGAATTATCCAAACAAAGGCAAGAAATTTTAAAAAATGAACATAAAACATGATGACAAATAGAAAACAAATGGAACATGATAATTATAAAACCAAATTCGTTAGTAATCACATTACATGTAAATGGACTAATTGGCTAAATTTAAAGACAAAGATGGTCACTCTGGGTGGGGGTGAAACAGTTGTAGGCTGCTTATGAGAGACACATTTTTAATATAAGGACACAAAAAAGTTTGAAAGTGAAAGAACGGAGAAATAGATTCCATGAGTAGAAGACACTGTGAATGCCCTTGGCATTCGCCATGACTTTCCAGATGTCTTTCAGTGGCATGTAGCACTGGGTCTCGCCTGAGGACATTCTTTAACCCTGGAAGCAGGCTGATGGGGAATACAGGCTGGTGGGAAATGGGACAGAGTAGAAATTCTGAGGAGCTGATGCCCTCAGGAGCAGCCCTTGTCTAGTGAGGATGTGAGCTGGCAGTAAATACTCCAACTTGCTCACCTTCAGGTGGAGAAATTCCAAGGCGTTTTCATGCAGTCTGCCAGCAAAGCCACTGAGGAGCCTAGAGGAGACTTCCAAGAGGGGAAGCAAGCCCCAGCTGTCCACAGCCAACAGCTCACTAGTGCATCCAGTGTCAGCTTCCTTCCCTTCCGTGTCTACTCAGGCGACCTTACCAGTGTTCCTAGGTTTACTTCTCACCTTCTGTACTCAAAGTCTGCTTCTCAGGGACACCAGCTTAATACACCATGCAAACTTTAGCCCCCTAAAACTAGTATGATTACATCAATATACAAAGTAGAATCTAAGGCAAGAAGCGTCACTAGAGAGTAAGAGGGGTGTTTCTTATATATAAAATGGCTAATCCACCAACAAGATATAATAACTTAAAAATACATGCACTTGATATTATGGCTTTAAAATATATAAAAGCAAAAATTGATGGAAACAAAAAAAAAGGAAATAAATCTATTACCAAAATCAAATCTATTACCAAAAAGCAAATCTATTACCAAAATGCAAGTTGATAAGACACTTCTCTGAATACCTAATAGAACAGGTAGGGGGGAAAAAAGGAAATATGTATGTAGATTTGAACAACACAATTAACAATTGAATACACATTCTTCCTAAGTGCATGGACCATTTACTAGCACTGATATTATGTTGGACCATAAAGCAACTTCAGAAAATCTCAAAGGACTGAAATCATACACAGTATGTTTTATGATCATGATACAATTAAACTTAAAAAAAAAACTAGAAAATACTATTTGGAAATTATACAATAATAATAATAGTGCATAGGTTAAATGAGAAATTCCAATAAAAATTAGAAAATATTTTCACTTGACTAATAATGAAAAATTCATTATATTGAAACTCATGGGATGTAGCTAAAGTTGCATTTGGGGAGAGGATTTATGCAGTAAATGCATATTTTAGAAAGAAGAAAAGTTGAAATGGCAATTAGCTAAGTATTATCAAGAAATTAGAAAAAGAACAACAAATTAAACCCAAAGTAGATGAAAGTCAATTTTAAAAATGAGAAGAAATTAATGAATAGAAAATGAGCATGAAATACAGAAATATAAAAAGCTAAAAGTTTATCATTTGAAAAGATTAGTAAGATTAATGGACATCTACAAGGACAGATAAAAAAGAGACAAGTCACAAATTATCAATGTCAGAATGAAAAGGTGTACATCACTACAGACAATAGAGATATTAAAAAGTAAGAGTGAGGCTAGGTGCAGTGGCTCACACCTGTAATCCCAGCAGTTTGGGAGGCTGAGGCAGGAGTATTGCTTGAGCTCAGGAGTTTGAGATCAGCCTAGGCAACATGGTGAAACCTCGCCTCTACTAAAAATACAAAAAAATAAATAAATAAATAATTAGCTGGATATAGTGGTGTGTGCCTGTGGTACTAGCTACTCAGGAGGCTGCAGTGGGAGGATTGCTTGAGCCTAGGAGGTGGAGGTTACAGGGAGCCGAAATCACACCACTGCACTCCAGCCTGGGCAACACAGCCAGACCCCATCTCAAAAAAAAAAAAAAGATATGAGGAACTACTTTATGCCAATAAATTTGGAAATGTAGGGAAAATAAGAAAGTTCCTATAAAAATAGACCTCACCAAAATTGATGAACAGAAATCCAAAACTTAAATCGCTCTTTATCTAGTAAAGTAATTGAACCTATAAATTAATACTTTTCCACGAACAATTTCCTCAGCCCAGATGACTTCACTAACGGATTCTTCCTAAAATTCTTTAAGATAAAAGAAAAAGAAGAAACACTTCCCAACATATTTTATGATGCCAGCAAAACTTTGATATTAAATTCTGGAAAGAACATTACTCAAAAGGAAATTACTTGCCAAGTTCTTTCATGAAATATATATAAGAATTTTTGTAAAAACAGTAAATTAAATCCAGTGATATATAAAAAGGTTACTACATCATGACTACGTGACTTTTATTCCAGGAATGCTAAAGTGTTAAAGTCTGAGAACAAAGCAATGTAATTAGACACATTAACAAAGTGAAATAGAAAATCACATGATTATGTCAATAGATGCAAAAAAGTATTTGATGTGAGTCAAAAATCTATTTTTTTTCTTGTCAGATGGGTAATGTGCTGATGGTGTAAGAACATTTAAGGAAGGCATATCTCACACGAGCGTGAAAAAACCCAATCGTCACACTTATGAACTACAAAAGGATTTCAAAATCTATTTGTGATAAAATGTCTTAGCAAATTAGAAATAGAAAAGAATTTTATTAATCTGGAAAAAAGTATATACAAAAAATATGAAATATGGTTAAAATAAAATTTAGAAGTTCTAAGCAAATGGAGAAAAATACTACCTATACCTTCTATGCAGATATCCAATTGAATTAGTATCATTTATTTTTAAAGACCATTCTTCCCCCCTCTATACAGAAACTAAGTCGTATTTGAGTTATTGGATATGAATGGATATGTTTTTATATTTCCTACTATCCACTCTACACTGTCTTAATGACTGGAACTTTATAATAAGCCACAGTGTCCTGTATGTATAGTCTCCGGTTTTTTTCTTCTTAAGGTTATCTTGGATATTATGCCCTTTGCATTTTCACACAAATGCTGGAAACAAATTGTTGACTTCTTAGAAAAACTTTGCTGGGTCTTAACTGGCATTGTGTTGAATCTATAATCAATTTGGGTAGAATCTTTTCAATATCAGTACTTTCAACCCATAAATATGTTATTTCCCTTCCTTTGCTTAGCATTTTAAAATTTTCTCTTAGTGATATTTCATAATTTTTGTGTAAGTTATGGCATAAGGGTGGGTAGAGTCTTTTTTTTTTTTTACTGTAAGCCTTTTGTACTGGTTACTTTGTTTCTATTTATGAGCATGTTACTTTTTCACTAAAAAAAAAAAAGAAAAGGAAAAAGTATTAAGTTTAAAACACAAAACGAAACCCACACAAACTATATCCTGGGAAGTAACCCTGTTGGTTGCCTAACAGCCATCCTCCTATTCTTCTTTGCTGTCACAGCAAATTTTTTTATTTGGGTTTACTCTCAGGGAGAAGCGAATCCATCTTGCAATCCAGGATAAATTCTGCCTGATTGAATTCAACTCCTGATCTCCCCCCATTCCCCTTGTTAGAGAACGGGTTAGGCAGAAGCTCAAAACCAGGAAGGAAGGAGGAAGTGGGTGCTAAGAGCATCCACACAAAATTCTAGCATTTGTTTTTTTTTTAAAAAAAGAAAAGAACAATCACACAGAAAAATGCACATTTTGGTACAAAAATACAGTTAGAAGGAGTTAGTTCTAGTGTTCAATAGTAGGAAGGGAAACTATAGTTAATAATGTATTGTATACACCAAAATGGCTAGAGGAGAAGATTTGTAATGTTTCCAACACAGGGAAAAGATATATATTTGAGGTGATGGGTATCCAAATTACTCAAATTTTACCACTGTACATCATATACAGGTATCAGAATATCACATGTACCCCCAAAGTCTGTATAACTATTATATATCAATAAAAAATGCAAACCTTTCTTCAAACAAATGTTGGTGTATCTGAATGAAACCAAATCTAGGGACAAACATTTAACAATCCTTCAGGGAGCTAATCTCCAAGTCAAAGCCATCATGTCTTGATGACAGAGCAGAACGGTGGAGAGAACCTCTGCCTTGATGACATAATTGAACAGCTGAATTAACTTATGATAGAGATGCCCTATCTTTGGGCTTCTTATGTGGGGAGAGAGTTTTCTATTACTTCCAGCCAAGCCATCCTAACTGTCGTGACACTCTTGCTGTGAAGTGAGCAGCCTTGGAGAAGGAAGATTTAATGGGAGTTCTTGGACTCCACGCTCCTTCATGCTTCCAGGTGCCAGCTGTCCTTCCAACAGCACACATCTCTGAGAATAATGCCCTAGATCTCCACAGGACCATTTTCCTCGCTCCAGCAGTTAAAATGGGCCCCTGAAAGCAGTTGGATGAGGGGTAATGCCTCATACAGGCCTGTGTTTTCCATCTCTGAGACTCAAGAGAACCAACCTAACAGTGTTTCTCCCATGGTCCTGTTGTTGCTCGGAGATCTTAGTTTCTGGCCTCAAAAATCTATTCTAGTTACTTGAAGCAGAAAGAGGCCTCAGAACCTATTCTAGTTACTTGAAGCAGAAAGAGACTTATTAAAGGGTAGAGTCTGCAGGAGTGGGTGGCAAAGATGCAGGCTTTAGGTTGAGCTTCCAGAAACAACTCCAGAAACCTCACCACAGAACCAGGCTGCCAAGAACACTGCTGCTCCTGCCTCAGTCAGGAAGTCGCAGAATCTGGAACCTTCCACCAGGGCCACCAGCTCCAGGCCACACTGCCTCTGCCTCAGTTTGGTCTAGGAAGAGGATGCCCACAGCCTGTTTCTCTCCTTATATAACTTACGCCGTTCATAACTCAGAGTTGTTAAAAACTTTTTATTAACGCTTAATAGTATACATGAAGAAAATGGGACATTTCATTAGTATTATAATTCAATTTTGAATCAAAGTCCCAAGCACCTGGATCTGATCTAAATCACATCTGAATTCTATCAGCAGGTGAGGTTGGGAAAGTGATGGTGTCTGGAGTCCTAGGAGTCTAGAAGGGCCTTCCAGTAGATCTTGAAGGACATCCAGTCCACACTATCCACACCAGTCTTTAAAATTGAAATGACACATCCTCATATCAGAGCCTGACCCTTCTTCAAATCCAACTTACCAGAAGAGAAGACAAGACTCTTCAATAAGCCTACAGGCTCGTCAGTTGTATCACCTGAGGTGCAGGTTGCTCTCTGCAGCATTTGTGTCATCTACACAATAGGAAGTCAATATCTTCCTAGAAACTCTGCCTTCAATGTGGCAAAATGAACTTGTCATTCCCACAGTCACCTTTAATGTAAAATAAGGATTTTTTATTCTCAGTAAAATAAGGATTCTGCTGTTGCATGGGTTGGTGAAACTACAAGTATGGGACACGTGCTAATAATAATGGAAGACAAACTGTAACTGGTCAAAATAACACAAAGCCAGTCTCATCTCAGCACGATGGGTGCTATTTCAGAATCCTCAGTTTGTGCCTGCACATGCAAAGTGGAGGAGAGAATTGCAGCTACTATCAGAATACATTCAAATCTAAAAAATATATTGTTTCCTGCAATTATATGGATGTATCAGGTAGATTTTGAGGTAATTTTGGTCCAAATAATCTTGGTAATTGCCACAGTTCTCTTGTACTTCTAGATACTGCTAAAAATACATAGCAATAAAAGCAGTGCTATCAATAAACTCTTTCAATTTCACAGGTTCTCTGGGAAAGAAAATACAGAATCAAGAAATTTCCCTGCTTCCAAATCTAACAAAACGCACAAAATAAGTAAAGATAGCCAAAGGGGGAAAAATGTTAGGAGCTTTCAAACTAAGGAAGGAGTATCATCATACTATAAGGGTTTAAAAATATCACCTACAGAAAGAAGATTCTGGAAATTGACTGTAGCTTATGCTGGACTCCTCTGGAAGTAGTACAATGGACAAAAATATGAAGAAACAATGACTGAAAAAGCTCACTGATACCCTTTAATTTGGAAGGAAGTAGGCTAACTGTGAGGAATGGTAGTTGGAGAAGAAGCTCAAAAGAAAAGATTCAGAATCCCTTTAAATGATTGCCTCTCTATACCAAGAGGGAAAAGTAGATATTCATTTATTAGAGACAAGAAGAACTACGAAGAATAAGGATTGGTTTGTTTCACTACCTGGGAAAATGAAACACAATATGCAAGCAGAAAAGGGACAATAGGGACAAACTCTTTATTCATCCTTTTTTTTTTCATAATTTGCCTACCTAAATCCAAGAAGGGAGCAGGAGAAGCAAGCAGGGAGAGGAGAGGGGAAAAGAATCACTGAAGGCAGCTTGTCTTTGAGATAAGAAAAGGCTCTGAGTTCACGTGGGACCTGGTGAACAACCTGAAAGCCACCGGCTTTTATCACAGGATCAGAAATAGCTCCAACTCTGCAGAGTAAACCTCAGAACAGGATTTTTAACTAACTTATAGGGAAAGCAGAGTAAAAATTCCCCAACTGTGATACCTATAGCCCTGGTTCCACACTTTCTACCAGACCTCACTCAGTCCCATCCTTGCTACCATCTCAGACAACAGAAAAGCAAATATAACACAACTCTTGAATATGGAAGGCCTAAGTTAGCTCTTATCTTTGAGATAAAGAGTCAATGGGACCCCAGATAGCATGGTAAGAAAACAAAGGAAAATCTATTATAAACAGAAAGGTAAAAGTAAGGCCCAAGTAGAGATTTCTTTTATTAAAAAATAAATAACTTGAAAATTAATAAAATAATGAAAGTAATAGAGGAAAAAAGTCAAGAATGAGAAGTAGCTTGTTAATTAGGAATGCTTTTGGCTGCAAGTAGCAGAAAACCCAGCTACCAGTGGTTTAAACCATATGGTCATTTATTACTTAATGAGACATCTAAAGGCTGTAAGTCCCAAGACTGGTTAGGCAGCTCAGATTTTGTCAGGCACCTAAGCCCTTTTGGTCTTTGCATTCTGCCAGCCACAGCGTACTTTCAATCTTGCTCCTCATGACCACAGGATGGCTACCACAGCTCTGAGCATCACCTCCTAAGTATCATTTCCAAAGTAGGAAGAGAGGGAATTATGGCAAAGGACATGCCTCTTCCTTGACAGAGAGAAAACCCTTTTTTAGAAGCCCCCAGCTGACTTACCCTAATATTTCAATGGCCAGAAACAGGTCAGAAATTCAACCGTAAACCAATCGTTGGCAAAGGTGAGAGAGTTACCATAATTCAGCCCCTTGGCTGGAAATACAGATGTCAGGGATCTATTGACAAAGAAGAAAGCAGGGGCCAGGTGCGGTAGCCCACACCTGTAATCCCAGCACTTTGGGAGGCTGAGGTGGGTGGATCACTTGAGGTCAGGAGTTCGAGACCAGCCTGGCCAACATGGTGAAACCCCGTCTCTACTAAAAATACAAAAATTAGCTTGGTTTGGTGGTGGGTGTCTGTAATCCCGGTTACTCAGGAGGCTGAGTTTGCAATGGGCCAAGCCAAGCACTCAAGCCTGGGCAACAGAGTGAGACTCTGTCTCAAAAAAAAAGAAAGAAAAAGAAAGGCAGGAGTAGCGACTAGGTGACAGACAAAATAACCATTG